CAACAGAAGCAGAGAAGAAGTGGGGAGAAGTAGAAGTTGAAGTATAAGTAGACGAAGAAGGAGAAGGAGCTGAAGGAGTAGAGGTACTGAATGTCGTAGTGCTCCTCGCAGTCATCACAGGAGCAGTTTGAAGGAGTCGTTGGGGCAGTAGCGGCAGCAGAAGGGCCGTAGTAGACAAGGAAGCAGCAGCAACAGCATCAGTCATCCGTTTGCGTTTTCCGTCACACATTCAGATGATGCCTCTTCTTGTTACTGATCATGATGCAAACCCCAACCCCTAAGCCCAACTAGCCCAACACACAATACAAAAGAACAACCTAATCCCTATGGCAAAACCACTAAACCCCAAAACCCTAAAAAGAAAGACTTCTACTAGTAATCATACTAGAAATAACACGAACAAAAATAATCATAATAATAACAACAATAGTAGCCATGCTAGATTTCTATGAGGTCCCTCTTCGAAAGCACCGGACCCATGAACATCCTGGCTTGGGCCATGAGGAGGGTGTGCTCCAGGCGCTGCAGGAGATGAAGAGCAAGCAGGCGAAAATGGGTACTTTTTTTGGAGCTTAAATAAAGGTTTATAATTATAGTAGTATAGGGGCCTGAATAATAATGACCAATAGAAGGTTCATGGGTAGTTATAAGTGGGGTTAGAAGTGAGTTCATGTGAGCTTTATCTTTTGCTTCGGGCTTTATTGGGGGTTAATCTAGGAGCTTAAATAAGTAATTACCAACCCTATTTTGCGGGTTCCTTATTATAGTTATAGTAAAATATACACCAAAACCCTATTCTAATTATTAAGGCCCCTACATTAGGCTGCTTACTTACAGGTTTGCAAAGGTGCAGGGCTTTATAGCTTGTTGTGGGGTGTGTCTAAGATTTTCTAAGGGATTTGGGTTTGATAGGGCCTGTGTTGGGCTTTACAGAGTCTTTAATGGTGCTTTACATGGTCTCATCGGGGCTCAACATGTGGCCTTCAATAACCAGAGGAGGCATCGGGGATATGTTACAGTGTAAGTGTCCACGGTTTGCAAGGTCATGTTGTTACATTGTTCAGCCCCGTGTATCAGGTCTTCATTGACCGTCCAACTGTGTGTGTGTGTGTGTGTGTTCGTGTGTTTTATTGTAGGCGCTGCTTTTGCTTCGGGCGTTGCTCTGGCTCTTGCTCTTATTGTTGTTCCTTTTGTGATTACTGCTGAAGGTTAGGCGCGTGCAGGCTTCATGTTTTGGTATCGCACAGCTTTCAAAGGCATGGGCTTCCAGGTCATACTAGGAGCAGTAATAACAACAAATTGTCATTATTTTTTTATTGTTATTATTGTTATTACTATCATCATTGTTGTTGTTGGGTAGTTCTCTAAATTAGGGTCCTTTCTAGGGTCCTTTGTATAAGGGTGCCGTACTATATTGGGGACCTAAAAAGGGACCCCACTTTAGAGAACTGTCCAATTTTGTTCGGGGAATCTGTCAAGTTTCTGGGCTAGGCACGTGGCTTTTGGGCTGCTTTCTCGAGGCATTACCGGGTTCAGTGCTGGCGGTTATATAGCCTTGGCCTTAGCAATTCCACAAGGGATCATCGCAGAATGCTGATAGTTGTAAGGTTGAAAACAGTGGCCATAGCAACAACGGCTATGATGTGATATTGTGTTAGTCATGCCAAAATACATATAATTGTGGCATATCATATGATCTAATTTGCATGTTGTTTTACTTACTGTTTCATGTTCTATGAAGTTAAACTGCGCGCGGTTAACTTGACTTGACTTATGTGACTGTGCACTACTGGTGCTGGCGCAGCTTCCAGATTGTCCGGTCCATGCAACGAGCAGCGCCATTCACCACCATGGCATTCAGATGGCACAAAAAAACTTCTCGCGATCATGGCACTCGATTTTTAGGCGTGGGGTTTTGTCTAAGGGATAGCCTAGACCCCCCAACTACCATAATATACCCCAAATGCCCACTATTAAGGACCATAAGGGCTCCATGGGTCCTGGAATCTACTATAGTACCATGCTTCGGCCTGCTGCCGTGGCCCTTCGCGCTCTGGCACGCCATGCGGCGCCGCGCTCTGGCGTACGGGGGAGCTCGGTGAGGTCTGCAGTGGGCAGTGGGTAGTTCTCTAAAGTAGGATCCCTTCAAGGGTTTAGGGTTTAGGGTTTGGGGTCTCTAAAGTAGGATCTATAAGAGTTTCTATAAGGGTACTATGAGGGCTTCTTGACAGTAGCATCTCCCTCAAGGTTTATGGGAGACAGCTCAAAGTCTTAATTATAATTGAGTCGAATTGTATTGCAGTATTTACTATGGTTAGTATACCATAGTATACTGTAGCTATTGGTGATGGTTTTAGCACATTGTAGTATAACATAGTATGAACACCATATCCCATGAAGAGCCTGTCCCGAGATTCTTCACTGAAATTCCTGGTCCGAACCCTAATCCCTTCCGCATGCAACGCTTGCCCAAGGTTCCAAAGCCCTAAACCCTAAACCCTAGACCCTAAACCCTAAACCCTAAACCCGTAGAAAAGGCGATCTACTGTTTCGATCAAAGGACGCTGGCTCCGACATCCCGTCGAAGAGCCATTTCAACATCTTGACTTCTGAGTGCCTTAAACCCCAAACCCAAAACCTAAGAACCTAAACTCCCTAAACCCCAAACCCTGAGAGCCTTAACCCTAATTAAACCCCAAACCCCAAACCCCACAACCTAAACCCTAAACCCCAAACCCCAAGAGCTTCCACCCTAAACCCTAAAAGCCCCAAGCCCCAAACCCTACCAGCCCAAGACCCTAAGCCCCAAGCACGTAAAGCAGAAATCCGAACGAAGCCCTGAAGGCCAGGGTCTTAACTACCGTCTCCAGGGTTTAGGGTTTAGGGTTTACGGTCTTTGGTTAATATAGGGGCCTTAGTAATTACCTATATTGTTTTGGGGGTTCGTTATTATGGTTATAGTATAATATACCCCAGAACCCTATTCTACCTATTAAGGCCGCTATATGAGGGTCTTTGGGGTTTAGGGTCTGAAAGACCGTGCAAGCCCTGAAATACGATAAGTCTGTGAACTGCGAACCCATAATATCCTTACATACTATAGTATACCCCAAGCCCCGATTCTAATCATTAAGGCCCCTAATAAAAAGCTCATTATAGATCCCTTTATAGAACCCTTTACGGACCCTTTTAATTAAAGGACCCCCTATTCTAATTGAGGTCCCTATATCCAACCCAACCCCTAGGGTCCCCTAGACCCTGAAACCCTGCAGCCCTAAAGCGCTGCACTCCGAAAACCGCGACAGCTACCTTAGTAGTTAAAATAGGGGCTCCTGTAAAAGGATCCTTCAATGAGGTTCCTTTAAGCGGATCCTTGAAGGGTTCAAGAAGGGATCTATAGTAGGCTTCTATACTAAGGGCCTGCGTTCCTTGGGGTTCCCCGCCGTTACAGCTATCCCGAAAGCCATGCACTATGCAAGTCCCTATACTATATGAGTCGTGAGTTATCCCCGATGCAAACTCATGAGACCGCTATGCTGTCTGTGCAGAAACCCTGTTCGAATTATCAATCAAAACCACCACCAAGCTGATGATGATGATGATGGTGATCATGATGATCATGGTGAAAATGATGATGGTGATGGTGATGATCATCATCATGATCATGATCATGATCATGAGGATGATGATGACGACGACGGTGCTTGTGCTGGTGCTGGTGGTCTTGCTGGTCGTCCTGCTCCTGCTGCTGCTTCGTCTGCTGCTTGTTTGTCTTGGGCACTCTTTTGTCTCCCCATGCTAAATGGTTAATCACCAGACCCTCAACCTGCCGTTCTCGACATCTTAGTGTGCAGTTCGCAGCTCACCGGCACGGGCTTCGTGAAGAGTCCCGAGAAGGTTGCAGAGTTGCTGCTCGGCAGGTCTCGTAGCGGTCTTGGGGATAAGGGTTTGCTGTTCTTGTCAATACACTTACACATTGGATCTGACAAATCAGGGGTTAGAGTGGCTTTTCTTTTGAGGCCCATTCCGTGGGATTTGGGGCTTCACCTGCCCAATCCCGAATGAAAGGCGCATCTACAGACATGACTTAGGACAGGGTTCAGACTTCAGGGTTTAGGGCCTAAAGTTTAGGGTTCTTGGGTCGGAGAGCAGCATTCGCTTCAGATGGTTAACGTTGGCCTGGTCCTGGCTTACACTGACAACCCGCATGAAAAGAATGTCTCTAGGCATATGCCTCAGTGCACAGGTATGGCTCCTGGGGCAGCGACAATTACGACGAAGATGTGCCGGGGCCAGTTAGAAATTTCTTGGTTACGTCAGTGAGAACTTCTATTGTGCCCTTTATGGTCATTTTCAAGTCTGGCATCGTTCTGATTTCAAGGTGGTCCAGAAGTTTTACTGCAATACTGCTCGCAATCTTCGCAGCGTCGGTAGTTGTAGCATGCTAAAGGCTCATACATCTCGCTACATGGAACTAACAGAAACGTTCTTGAGGGTGCATGCGCACAGCAGTTCGTTGTAAATCTATGCACAGTACTGTCAGTTGTGCTGTTATAGCTAGCTAGCTTCCATGTCTGCTGGCAATACGAACATTCAGTCTCGCAATTCGCGCGTGGCTGACATCATGAACGCAAGCCAGCATCAGTCACATAATTACTCTAAGAGTCATTTATGACATGGGATACGATAAGCATGAAAATAAAGGTCAGTAAGTTGCCTCAGTAAAACAGGACTTGTGCTGTGCCCTATTCGGCGAAGGCCACAGACAGGTGTGCAACAGCGGGCCGAACCCTAAACTGTCAAGAGAGATTTCGTTTGTAAAGATGGATTCAATAGTTTTCGTCGTGAATTTCCAGTTCTGCCCACCCACAAACTCGTGTTGAGCGCTGGTTGAATAGAAACACGAGGAGCAATGTCGGAAGTCTTCTTGATGATCATGCGACCTCAGAACACACAAACCTTGTGTTGTCTCCTCTAAGAAGTGTCAACAGTGGGTTCAGGTCACGAAGTGGGGCTACAAATTACCCCAGCTCGCCGCGGAGTACACGCGGTCGGTGACTTCACCCGAGATTTTCGAGGCCGATCGGGCACGCTAAGTTGCTGGGCAAAACGCCACTGCACAGACTTCGAACGAAGCATATGCCATATGCACAACAAGAAAAATCCCTACCGCACAACAGCAGGTGAGTTCTTTACATGCCAATCTGGGTAGTTCTCTAAATTAGGTTCCCAATATAGTACGATACCCTTATAAAAAGGATCCTTAATGGCACCCTTATTTAGAAAACTACCCATCTAACAGGTATGCTCTCTCGCGTGCGGGTTTGCTCGACATGCATGCAATTCCTTGCCATGGTTTGTTGCATACATGTACATATTTACATATACATGGGCATGTACAAACTGCAATACGTGTGATGGACTGGTAGAAAGCTTAGGAGGGAGATACGTTACTAGAGTGCAGAATCATACAACAACAAGTTTCTGTTTAGTTTCTTTCGTTCGATCCTTGATTGTGCAGTTCTAGAGATTCAGAGGACATGTGCGGACATTTAAGCGTTTATCTGTGTTTGAATATATATATATATAGATGTTTTGCAATGCCTACATCCATATGTGTATAGATATGCGTGCACATGCACTTATGTCCGTATCTGTGTGGTATCTAGATCGTAGGTGTCTGCGACATCACCCAAGTCCTGAACTCCGGAATGCGTTTCGGTTGATGAAATAGAGCTTGGAGACTTGGTCAGGGAGCGAAAATCCTCGACGCTGGTGCGGGCACTGGTCTGCTGGCACACAGCCTCAAGGACAGACTCACTGCAGTGGCCTGAGTTCTTAGTAATTGCATCCTCCCCGGCACATAGCCCCAAACACTTACACCCGCGTTTCGAATTGTTAAGGCCTCTCTCCCTCTCTTGACAATTCAAGCAGATATCAGACTCTTGTAAAATCGTCGCCTATAGTGTGAAAACAGACGGCTTGCTTCAAAACTCAGACCTGTAGTGCGACACTTTCTGTGTAAGTATATATACATATACATATATATATATATACACCTGTAAGTGTATATATATATATATAACAGTAGCGAAACATTGAGCACAAACCCTAGGCCCTAGGCTCCTAGACCTCCAAGCCATCATACCCTTCGTTCCCTAGCAGTCCCCTTGGGCTGAGCCGCGCGCTCGAGGATCCTGAAAACGAGGTCATAAACCCAGGGCTTTTAGGATTTAGGGTTTAGGGCAATGTAGAGTTTAGGGTTTAGGTTTCAAGGTTCAGGGTCTAGGGTTTAGGGTTCAGGGTTCATGGTTTAGGGTAATGTAGGGTTTAGTGTTTAAGTCATAAACCAGTTGACGAAGAAACCTTGAGCTATAGGCAGCCAATATACAGGCCTAGATAATTACCAATACTTGTTTGGGGTTCCCTACTGTTTTAGTATAAGATACCCCCCAAAACCCTGTTCTGATTATAAGGCCCCTATATTATTAGGCCCTGGCATTCCTTGAGGCTGGGTTTAGGATAAGGGTGATGCTCCTGATGCTGCCAATAAGGGTCTCGATGTTGCTGCCCGAAACAGCCCAAAGCCGTGAGGAGGCTGGTGTTAAGGATGCGACGGCCATTGACATCTGCACGGAGTGCCTCTACGGCAAGATATGGAAGCTATACACATCTTACCAAGCCATACTTAGGCCCTATACCCGCTCCACGCGGTTTAGAAGCTGGCTCCCTTTCAGGGTCTCCGAACTATCGCAAAGTTGGGTCCAAATAGGCAGCTGAAAAAGAGCCCTTTTAGAGCAACCCCTCCACCATATCTCCAGATTTGACTCTGAACCTCAACTCGTCATATTGACAAAACTCCAACCAGTCTATCCAAACTTATTGCGGCTCTTTGAGTATTGAGTCTGCATGTACTTCCCATCCCCCATTTTGGGGCCTTATGACGAGGTTCAAGCGCTTTAGTGTTTCGAAACTCTTCGACCAAAACATCGGGCTTCAAACAAATTCAAATCAACCCTAAACCCTAAACCCTAAACCCTAAAACCCTAAACCCTAAACCCTAAAACCCTTCCCACACCTTTTAGTAAGCCTTGTTAAGTTAAGCCCCAGTCACTACGTAAACCCTATCAATTTTCAGCCGCAGAGCTTAAAAAGAGCCTTCATAGAATCGTCATGGAGCCCTGTTAGATCCTTCATGGACTGCTGGGTCGCTTCTTTAGGGTTTAGGGGTTTAGGGTTTAGGGTTTAGGGGTTTAGGGGTTTAGGGGTTTAGGGTTTAGTGCTTATGTCCTTTTCCACTCAGTCAATGATACTTGTGCTGCGATGTCGATCGTTGGGTTGTTCCCTATACCCTAAACCCTAAACCCTAAACCCGAAGGGCATCGGGGACAGCTCGCAAGTTCGGTCACAACTGAGAGCAAGGTTAACGGGTTTGGGCGCAAGTGGCCCCACTTGCCTGCCCAAAATGGGCTTGATAGACGCATCTGCAGACATCAAGAAGGCCCTCAAAAAAAAACCTAAACCCGATTCCTTCAATGCCTCGGCAGTCCAGCTCATCCCATGCACCTGACACCTGAAACGTCCTCCGATAGGCCGGCTTGGTTGATTCGCAATGACATCTCTCACGGCCCCTAGTAACCCTTACATCAAGTATGTTTTGGGCCCTAAGCCCAAAGCCCAATGGTCCCAATACCCCAAACCCTAAACTCTTATGCCCTAAATCCCGAGAGTACCCGCATAGTAACTGCTTTGGCTCGCTTGAAGGAACCCTTGACGGGCTCCTTACAGGAGCCCTTAAAAAGGCCCAAAGCTCGGCATGTGCATCCGTCTTGGGCCGACTCCCTGATCTGAGGTTGCTCTCGAAAGCCATGAAATCGGGCTTCTACTCTTGCTGCAAGGTGGGGCGGTTGATTAGGGTTGAGGGCTCAGGCTTTAGGGTTTGAGCTGAGGGGCTTAGGGCTGATCGGGGTTTGGGAGCATCGGATTTGGGTTTTAAGATTTGACTTTGCTCTGGATGCTCCTAGGTCGCGAAGGCTCCTCCGGTGACGTCTTGGCTAGAGCAGTCAGCAGGAAGCTGTCGAAAACAATCCGCACAATCTTAACAAAACGAATGGCGACAGTGCTACTCGTAGTAGCAGTATCGTCGCCAGTAGCCAGAAGCCAGCTGCAGTAGCAGTAACAGCAGTAGTAGTCGCCCGTGTCGTAGTAGACCTAGATTTCGTCGTTCGAGCATAGCAGCATCGTGACGTCGTGATAGCGATGGTTTCTGCAGGGGGCCTTGCCGCAGGTGGTCGACCTGAAGGCCACCTTCGATTTCCCGGACAGCTGCTTCGATGTTACGCTTTGCCTGGGCACGCTCACCTACATGGACCCCGTGGCTCGGTTTTCACGACTCTGGGTCATCAGCTCGATGGTGGTGCTGGTGCTGGTGCTGGTGCTGGTGCTGGTGCTGGTGCTGGTGCTGGTGCTGGTGCTGTTGCTGGTGCTGG